TATCATTTTTCTTTTTTTGTATCCTCTTAATATATTTTTTTGTGAACAATCCTGGACTATGAAAAGTAGCTTTCTTATGGCTAATATACGAAGGGCCGAGGTTGAACGCATTGACAGCCGTATCGCAACGGGCTTGGTAAGAGCCTATATTTAATATATAGTAATAACTAATAATATTAAGTATACATTTACGTTTATATTTTTTTTAAACCTATTATTATTTTTAACACTTGCCTCTAAAAGAATAATTAGCACGTTTACCATCGATATCTTTTGTTGTCTATTTTATATGATTTTTTAAAAATTTTGAAAATTTTGAAAATTTCAAATGCAAATATAATCGGTTTAAAAAAAAATTCCAAAATCTGGAACGTCAAAACCTAGATAAACTTCTCACGTTTATTTTGGTGAAAAAATCATGTTTCTACCGCTAACGAGAGATGAGGAAAATGGGAAGTACGAAACCATGTTTTTACGGCCGAATTTTCGTACCAGAACGGCCTCTTAAACAACTTGTTATCACCATAAAGAATAAAGATTTGGTTACGACAAGTCGTTTAAGAGTTACTTCAGATTATCAGATTACCAACTATCAATAAATGAAAAAAAAAAATAAGTTATTGATTTAGAAAAATGCGGAAGATTTTATACATTCTAATTTAATATTGTTGTTTAATGCAATATAATAATATGTCATATAGTATTTAAGTATTTGAATTTACTAATAAGTAATTATTATGTATATTAAGGTATTATAATAATGTAAATCAATTCATGTGAATTTAATTCAAACAAATTAAATTAAAATTTTATATTATTGTGAAAATGTAAAAGATTATATTAAATATATTTTTTTTTATTTATTTATTCTTCAATAAAATAGAAAAATAGAAAAACAAAATCTTAATTTGAAATACAAATTCATGTTAAATATAAGTGGGGTATTTGTTTGTTTTTTTATAAATTATTTTTTGTTTTTGAAAAAAACACCAAAATGGATCACTACAAGGCAGCACATTAAATTGACAATTTATTTTAATCATAAAAATCATAGAACAATAATTTTATAAATCAGAATAGGTATACTTTCAAAATACCAATAAACTGTTCTTAAAAAAATTGAATTATCTCATATTGTAATATATACTATATGCTAGTTGCATAACTTGCAATAACATGTAAAGACAAGTTTGAGTTTTAAACTATTAAACTAGTATGATTTGACCATGCAATGAAACTGTCCAAAATATCATGTTAAAACATTGTCTTAAATGTTCACATCTTAGTTGATAATCATTTTGTTCAAAGTTGATTCCTGTGCTCAAAATTAGTGTTTCAAAATTGTAACGTTTGTGTTCACTTGAAATACTTAAATATTTAAAAAAGTGTAAGTCAAGTGTTATTTGGGATTATTTCAAACTTGAACCAGATAATACTAATTTAAAATGTGGCCTCTGTTCTGCAAAATTATCAAATAATCGTTCTTCAACATAAAACTTAATTAGACATATTAATTCTAAACATCCAATTGTCGACTTTTCGAAAAGAAATAATCGTGCATTAGAGGAGACTGTTGATGATCCAAATGATGCTCCATCAACTTCTTCTACAGTAAGTTAAATTAAAAAATATTTTATCAAAAAATATAATATAATTTCAAATAAGTAACTAAATTATTTTTTAAATTTATAATCTAAACATTTTGTTTATTTTTTATTAGTTTCTATTACATAAATATAAAATAATTACTTATGATTTTATGAATGTCTCGTGATACTTACTAAATAATACATTTATATTTTTAGAATACAATTATTTCAACAAATAATCTAGTAGAAAACCAAACTGAAACGTCTTCAAAAATTCTATCTAATGAACATGAATTAATTAGTCGTCCTCAAAGTTTTAGATTTGTAAATAATAACATTACTCAATATTTTTCCAAACCTCTCGGGGCGTCCCGCCGTACAACTATAGATCAACAAGTTCTAAAAATTATTGTGAAAGAGTATTATCCCTTCAGTATTGTGGAAGATAAAGTGTTTGTGAAGCTTTTGCATTTACTAAATCCCGGTTATACGCTTCCATCTAAAAAAACATTATCTAAATCATTATTATCCATAATGTATAATGAAATTCATGATCAAGTGAAAAAAGACATAAAAGATAATGCGAAATATGTATGTATTAGGTACCACTGATAGTTGGACTTCCATTAAAAATGAAAATTATATTGCTGTCACATGCCATTTCATAAATAATGAATGTGAATTAAAATCTTATCTTCTTTCGTGATTTAAAAATTCCGAATCACATACTTCAGAAAATTTGAAAAAAGATTTATTAGCGGTTATAAAGGAATGGGACTTAGAAAATAATGTTGCTGCATGTACAACTGATAATCAGTGGCGGCTCGTGGTTTGGACGACGGGACGATCGCACCCCCTATTTATTTGTTAACACTTATATTGTTTTTAATTTTAATTAGTTCAACATGTCGAATTCTGTTCATAATTTAATAACTATAAAGTTTTCATCATTATCGTTGGAACAAAAATTAACCATAAACATTGATGGCAGGCCTTTACCGGAATTAAAAGATTTAAAGACTCAATACAAAAAAGGAAAAAATGAATATTTTCGGAATTTTAATACAACATTATACCTCAAAAATAAATGGCTATGTGTGTGTGAAATAAAACAAGCTCTTTTCTGTTTTCCTTGTTTACTTTTTGGTGGCGAAACAGCTTGGACTAAAATAGGAGTCACCGATTTGCAACATCTAAATGCAAAAATTGTTAAGCATGAAAATTCATTGAAACATATTCACAATGCAACAAATTTGAATTTGTTAGGAGAAGTTGATATAAGACATCAAATTGATATTGGTTATAAAATAGGTATTCAACGCCATAACGAATTAGTAGATAAAAATCGCTATGTTCTAGATAAAATTCTAAATTATATAAAATGTTGTGGTAAACACGAATTACCATTACGAGGTCATGATGAAAAAACTTCTTCAAAAAATCAGGGCGTTTTTCGTGGAATACTCGACCTTTGTATTGATTTAGACTCTAGTTTGGGTGATCATTTTGAAAAATCTACTGTTTTTAGAGGAACTTCTATAACAATTCAAAATGATCTGTTGGATTCTATTCTATCAGGATGTCGAAATAAAATAGTAAATGAAATTCAACAATCAGAATTTATTTCCATAATTGATGATGAAACCACTGATATTTCAAATATTTTTCAGTTGGTTCTTATACTTAGATACGAAGTACAAGGTCGACCTGTTGAGCGTTTTTGGGGTTTTGAGAATCCAAATGGACATAATGCCGAAGCATTATCACAAACTATTTTTGGTTTAATTGATCCACTTCTAGAAAAATCACCTAATAAATTGATTGCTCAGTCATACGATGGTACAGCGGTTATGAGTGGTCAAAAAGCTGGTGTTAATGTTAAAATAAAAGAGAAGTACCCATTCGCCTATTTTATTCACTGCTATGATCACCAATTGAATCTCATTATGATACAATCAATTTCAAAAAATAAGCAAGTTCGTGTATTTTTTTCAAATTTATCTTAAATACCAGTGTTTTTTTCTCATTCACCACAGAGGGTATCAGTGTTAGATGAAGTAGTCGGTGTTCGTATGCCAAGAGTAGTACAGACTCGATGGAATTTTAATTCAAGAACCGTAAATACTGTTTTTGAACACAGAGAAGATTTGATAATTTGTATGGATAAAATAATTGAAACATCTTTACAAGCTAAAACAATTAATCAAGCTACTGGTATTAAAAGGCTTCTTGAAGATACTGATTTTATATTTTGGCTGAATATTTTTCATAAAATTATGCATGTTGACTGTTTGTATAGTTCTGTCCAAGCTAGAAAAACAGACACTGTTCAAGTAAATAACTCAGTAACATTATTTATAAATGAAATAAATAAAATTCGTGATAATATGTCATCAATTTGTTCAACAGTTTTAAATCAATCAGAAATAATACATTCAAATAAAACAAAAACTAGCGAAGACCCAAATATTACGAAAAGAACTATTGCTTTAGAAGTAAAATGTGATGTTTTAATAACTCAAGCAAAAGGTCGTTTTAGTTTTAATGAACATCTTACTACAGCGTTGCTTTTTCAAAACGAATATTACCCAAAATTTAACAAAAAATTCCCAACTGATTATTTTCAAAAAACTATAAATTGCTATCTTTTCTTTACAAAAGAACGTTTAAAAACTGAACTTGAGATAATTTATAGCCGTGATGATTTTCGCTTATTAAAAGGAATTATTCCTACTATTGACTATATAATATCAAATAATATGAACGATTTATTTAAGGAAGTACTTAAATTACTTAAACTATTAGTCGTTATTCCGATGACATCGTCGGAAGCTGAACGCGGATTTTCAACGTTAAAAAGAATTAAAACTTGTTTGCGAAGTACCATGGGAGAAGATCGACTAAACGCTTTATCTATTCTTAGTATTGAAAGTGAAATGATTGCAGAAGATATAGAATTCAATAAAAAGGTCATCGAACATTTTTCATCAACAAAAAACAGGCGGATGGATTTTATTCATAAAATAACTCCATAAAATATGTACTAATGTCTAATATTATATTACTATGATAATTTTATGAATAAAATATTAAGATTTAAAATAATAATGTGTGTATTGTGTTTCAGTTTATTATATTTAATTTGATAATTTGTTATAATTATGACTATCGTTATTATATTTAAAGTCGCTCCCCCACCACCAGCACCCACGAGCCGCCCCTGCTGATAATGCCTATAATATTGTTAATGGTGGAAATTCATGCGGATGGAGGCACGTAGGTTGCTTTGCCCATAGTTTAAATTTAGCGGTACAAACAGCGCTAAAACAAATATCTGAAACAAGAGATAAAGTTAGAGGCATCGTTGGACATTTTAAGAGAAGCCCACAGGCAGCTGAAAAACTTAAAGCTATGCAAGAGCAATTGGGCTTAACACCACCTTTAATGGTCATCCAGGATGTTGTTACACGCTGGAACTCGACGTATGAAATGTTTCAATGTATTCATGATCTTAAAGTTCCTCTTTCTTCAGTATTGGTAGAGTGTAATTATAATGTTTACTTGACCAATGAAGACTGGTACATAATTTCTAAGTCTTGTGAGATTTTAAAATATTTTAAAGAAATTACATTAGAAATAAGTAGCGAAAAATCTGTTTCTATATCTAAGTCAGTTGTATTTAGTCGAGCACTTCTTAAACATTGCACTTACTTAGATACACAGTTTTATGATTCACAACAATTAACTGGTATGATATCCAAATTGAAACAACAAGTAGAACAAAGATTTGGGCCACTTGAAAAAATACAACTTTATGCGGAGGCTACAATACTCGATCCAAGATTCAAAAAATAAGGATTCTTAAGCAACAGTTCTTTTACAGAGGCAAAAAAAAAACAATTATCAGTAAAGCAACTACCATACATATTGGAATCAAAAATACAATACAGCCACAGCCAGTCACACAAAACCGATCTTTACCTTTAGATGGAGATTCTATTTGGAATGACTTTGATGAACACGTAAGTAGTCAATTGATATCTTAAAATCCAACTTCGGCAGCAATTGTTGAAATTGATAAATACCTTCAAGAACGGTTAATTCCAAGACATGATAATCCTTTAAAGTGGTAGAAAGACAATCAAAATGTTTACCCTTGTTTATTTGAACTAATGAAAAAACGTCTCTGTGTACTTGCGACATCCGTTCCATGTGAGCGTATATTTTCTAAAGCAGGGAAAACAATTTCAGAAAAAAGAAGTAGACTAAGTAGTAAACACTTTGAAAAAAATATCTTTTTAAAATTTAAATTCAAAGTAGGTAGTATATTTTTGATATTTTTATTACTAGTTTTTGAAATCTTAATATTTATATATATACCTACTTGTTACTTATTGTTAATTGTACTAATATAAGATTATGTTAGAAAACATGGTATTTGTCAATGCATTTATATTTTATAATTAATTTTTAAAGTTTTTAGTTTCTTCAAGTTTTTGAGATGGATGAGAATGATTTAAATGAAAATAATCAAAAGTATCAAAATTCAAATATTGTAAATTTTATTCGCCCTTCAAAAAATGACTCCATTGCTGTTAAAAATAATTTCTTCTCTAAGCATCCAATACAACCTATGATTCCAACTTCTAAAGGTAAACTTAATTTTAAAATAATTTATTACAAAGAGTTGCCAAATGGCGAAGTAGTTCAAAGAAAATGGATTTCATACTGTAAAGTGTTTTTTTTTGTTCTAATTGTATGGTTTATATTGTATAAGCCAGTTAATTATGGAGAAAAAGAATCAAAGTTCATAAGTGGGTATAAAGCTGATATAAAAATGCAGAAATGCCTTTATAGTGATATAATAAGACATGAAAATTCAATATTCCATCAGAATTCTTCATGTACTGCTGTTCGTTTTCGATTAAATAAAGATATTGAGTGTATTATAAATCGTGATGTCATGGAAAAAAGGTCTCAAGAAGTACAAAGTCGAAGAAAAGTGCTTGAACGACTAATAGATATTGTTGTTTTTATTGACCGTCAAGGTATCCCATATCGAGGTAAACATGAAGTAACATATGCTTTAAGAAATGTTGAAGAAAACCATGGTAATTTTTTAGAACTAGTTATGTTAATTGCTAAATATGATACTATTTCAAATGAACATGTTAATAAGTCAATTACACTTAGTGTAAAAGCTAATTCTAAAAAAGGTCGTGGATCTTTGATTACATTTATGTCCAAAAATTTTATAAATAATAACATAATTATACCAATTGGAGCAGCAATATTCAAGGTACAATAGTTATTTGTAAGAGAAATGAAAGAATGTATTAAGTTTAGTATAATGATTGATAGCACCCAGGGGCCAGGATGTAAGTGTTATGGATCAATTAGCAATATGTGTCCGGTATATTTTCCATGGTGTTGTGCAAGAACGATTACTAAGTCTGGTTGTTTGCATTGACTCTAGTGGTATTGGCTAAAAAAGTGGAAAAAAGTTACTGTAAGACTTCTGGGTTCCAACCAGTTCAAGTCTTTTAATAAATTCTCATTTTTATGAACTGTGACTCAATACTATTTTGAATAGTATCTATAATTAGAAAAGTATCACATTTAAATTTATTATATGGAGATATAGTTCTTGATTCATCACAACTTTTTTCTCCAGATAGTTTTTTTTTTTTTTAAATACGTTTTCTAGGAAAATCTACCTCCATATTAATTAAATCTTCTTCACAAAAATGATTATTTATTTTTTTACGAACATTTTGACATTTTTCATATAAATTCAATACATATTCATTAGTTCTTTTTTTCTCAATTTGTTTTTTTAAAGTAGCTATCATATTCCATGCTTGTAAATAATTTATAGTTTTAGTTTGTAGATAAATAGATAGGTACTGGAGTTGTGGCTGAATAAATATCAAGCAATAAATTAGATATATATATTATTATTTCAAATCTTGACCAATTACTAATTAATGATTTAGCAATGAATTTGGATTGTGTATTGAAATTTCTATGACAAACTGTGGTTAAAAATGTTAATAAAGTTGCAAATTTGGTGTTTTCAACTTCTTTACCGGTTTTGAAGATATTCAGTTGTAAATCCATAACTGAAGATAAAGCTTTACCTTTACTCCACCATCGAGTTGCACCAATTTTTTGGAGTTTATAAAGTTCATCATGGCCAGTATGTTTTACACTAGTCCAAGTTTCCATTCGTTTGTGGGAATCTGATAAAAAAACAGCAGATTGCTCTACCAAACCAAATAAGTCTTCAGCCAAATTAATATTAGTACAACATTCTTTCATTACTAAAATTCAAAACATGCCCCATACAGTGTGTATACACAATGTTTGAATTTACACTTTTTAATTGGGCTTGTAAACCATTATAAGCAGGGTTGGGATTTTATAGCATTTGCATATTTCTTATGAGATGCTTAAAAAATAGCAGAGTAAGCTAAAAATGTGTTTCATGATACAGAGAACTCAAATTAAAAATTTTATTTTGCATATTTTACGATTTTTTAGTTTTTACTGCTTTTTTTGGGTTTTTTGAGACTTTTTTGCATTTTTACCTGTTTTTGAATCAAAATCTGTCAAAATTTTATGAAATTATATTTTATTAAACGTGTTTTTAGATTTTTGTCATTATCAAATAAATTGTAAACGTACCTATAGATTAAGTAAATAGGCAGATTACGATGATGCAACGCCGTACAGCGTTAATATATAGGTATAATATAATACTACGATAATTTCGTATTAGGTATTTGGTTCTAATTTTGTTGGGTTTTTTTTTTTGTCGATTTCTACTGCGATTATAAATTGCCGATTATCAACGTTGTATTATAGTCAATTAATTTTATATGGTCGTCTCGTGTGCCTGTACTCGTGTGTTACGTTGTATTTTCGCCGTTTATAGCGGCAAACATTCCTTTAAATAAATTATCTACTCCAATATTTCGACAATTTCTTGAAATGTACATGAAAAATCCGATTTCAGATCAAACCACGTTAAGAAAGTTATACGTGGATGATATATATAACGAGACTATGGAAAAAATTCGGTCTAAATTATCTTCTAAGCGAATATGGGTCAGCATCGATGAAACAACCGATGTCGAAGGACGGTATATAGCAAATGTGATTGTCGGCAGTCTTGAAGACGATCGTCAAGGTGTTATATTTTTACTTCATACTGAAGAACTAGGAAAAACAAATTTTTCTTCTATCAGCCAGCTATTCAACAAGTCAATGGGTATATTGTGGCCGAACGGAGTACAACATGAACATGTTCTTTTATTTGTATCAGACGCCGCGCCATATATGGTAAAGGCAGGGACGGCTCTCCAAGTTTTCTATTCTAAAATGCTACACGTGACGTGTGCAGCCCATGGTTTGCACAGAGTAGCAGAACAGGTTAGATCTCATTTCAGTACAGTGGATAAGTTAATAGCAAGTGTGGAACAAGTATTCAAAAAAGCTCCGAGTCGGTTACAATTATTTAAAAATGAACTTCCTAGAGTAAACTTGCCGCCAGAACCAGTTATTACACGTTGGGGAACCTGGATTAATGCAGCTACCTATGATTGCGAGAATATACAAGCTGTTCGTCATATTATTGGATTAATCGACCAAGAAGATGCGATTAGTATTCAAAAAGCAAAAAAATGTTTAGGCAACCTTAATCTTGAAAATAACTTGGCATACATTAAATCAAATTTTTCTATTTTATCTGTAGCCATTGATAAATTGCAAACAAAAAATCTGTCTTTAGCCACATCATTAAATATTATTGAAAATATCGAAGAAACACTGAAAATACTAAATGGTAAACATGGTAAACCTATATATCTCAAATTAAAAAACGTTTTAGAAAAAAATAGTAGTTTGTCTAAATTAAAACATATTTCAAATATCTTGGATGGTGAAGAACATACAAATATTGGTGAGTTACTTGGTGAACTTACATGTAGCGATATTATATATTTCAAATATGCACCAATTGTATCAGTGGACGTCGAACGTTCATTTTCGACGTACCTATAAGACTTTGTTGGCAGACAACCGCCGTAAATTCAAATTCGATAATCTGGCCAAGCATTTAATAATTCAATGTAACACTCAAGGTAAACATTTTAAATCGCTTACTTTTTATTTAAAATTTTTGAAAATAATTAATTGGGTAATTTTTTTTACAGCCTTTCAGGATTCTGATCAGAGTGACTAAACTACGTATACCTAATAATTTATAATTTGTAAGTGATTATTGATTAATTAATAAATTTCCTATTTTTTTATTTCATATTTTGTTGTTTGCATATTTTCGTATATTTGTAGGGCATATTTAACCTAAGTAACTACATATAATAATATCAAATTTTTAAGTGATTAATTAATAAATTTCCTTTTTTCATAATTTGTTGTTTTTATTGCATGTTTTTAACGCATATTTAGCGATAATTAAGGTCATATTATATCGCATATTTATACAATTTTAAGTGCTATAAAATCCCAACCCCGAACATGACATTTTTTTGAAAATATAAAATATATAAAATAGTTTTTATTTTCATAAATATAATAGATTATAAATATATATGTTTGATCAACTGGACTGTCTACTTACTTAAAACAATAAAAGTTAAAAAAAAAAAAAATAAGTAGGTAAGTATAAAGTAAAATATAATTAATAATTAATAAAAATGGTTAAATATTCCGACATAAAAATGATACATTAAAACATTTGAATTCTGATTCTTTTTTTATTACTTAGCTTTTATTTTTTAGCTTTTGTTCTTATTAATTTTTTTTATTTTTTGTTAAAACTGTACCAGTTTGAATATTTAACAATTTAATAATTGCTTGTGAATTTGATTCAAGTAGTTCTGTTTATCAAAAATATACATCTATAATTGTCCGCGATTCAATTTTTAAGCATTGTTGCCGTGTTCGATGCTTCATGTATCAACCGAAACACCAAGTACACCCTCACGCCTAATGAATAAATAATAAAGTAAGAAATAAATGAGGTAATAATAATCAGGTGTTTATTATAAGTCTCTGGTGGTTATAAGTATATTAAATTACACATGTGATGGCAATAAAATGAGAATAGGTAATATGAAGTGCCTGTTGGCTAACAATAATAATAAAATATGATAATAAATCAATAACAATGTAAAAAAACACGTGAGTAATAAGCCTGGTCGGCTGATATACAAAATAATTATTTTTGCCTCTTGGCAATTTAACAATAATACAATGTGCCTGATGGCAACTTACAACAATAACAATATGAGCCTGTTGGCAAATTTATACTAATAAGTAATGACTAGAGGCCGTCGGCTGTAATACTAGGTTGAACATTAGTGGTTAACCAATACTCACAAAACAAAATGAACAATGACAAAATGACTGCCGAGACGGGACTGCTGATGCCATGACACCACCGCCTCAACAAACACAAACGCAACCACGCGTTGATAATTTGACCACCCTAGAATGGGGACAAAACTATTAGAAAAGATGTATCAGTGTGCATACGGTTACCAGACGATTTGAGTACATGTATTGCGATACACAAGTGTACTGTAAAAACGTGGTTTGTGGCTGACGGCAACACAGGACCGATGAACATGAACCAACACAAAAACCGACAAGTGTCTCAAAGGCGATTGAAAAAAGAATGTAATGTGTGCTCGATGTTCAAGTTCTACTAACGAACAAATCACACACATGAATCTAGGACCGAGAGCTCAGTGCTAGTAGACTTAAAGCACGAATTGTAGTTTTTTCCTCCGGTGAGCAAAACACAACACAACAGATTACAAGAACACACATGATAACAGTCATCAGTGATAAGCACCGTAACTGTAACACAAACACAACACCACTGAACCCGGTTTGCGGCGCAAACATATTCCCCCCTTTGAAAGTATCTATCTTTAAAAATTTACATATAAAGTAATAAAACATTAAATAATTTAAAACCGGCAGAGGGGTATACATTCTTTAAACATGAATCTTGAATGATACTAATATGATTACTGAAAAATAATTTATCTTTAAGAGATGTGGCTAACAAAGCCCAAATAAATAATAACAATATGAATTATGAAATAGTAACAATAATAATATAAAAGAACAAAAAAAAAAAATTATTTTTGAATCCCTAATCTTCATCATCTTCATCTTTTTCGGTGGGTAATAATGATAATTTGACTGCTGGACGTTGAAATTCGGAACCAGTAGAATTTCGCACGGTCACCGCCCTCACAACACCATCAGCCCCAGGATGCGCTGCTGTTACGCGGACTAATGGCCACTTTAGAGTTGGCATGTTGTCGTCACTCAAGATTGCAAGATCACCAATACAAAAGTTTGGTTTGGTTTGGTCTTTTTACCTCTTCGCTGGAGTTGAGGCAAATATTCTTGTAACCAACGTTTCCAAAATAGTTGCATTTGCTGCCGCATAAGTTGATATCGTTTTAAGCGGTTCTGCGGTATGGATCAGGCTCAGGTGGTAGCATGAGCGGACCACCAATTAAGAAGTGACCTGGTGTCAGTGCATCGAAATCGTTTGGGTCTAATGAACGTGGAGATAGAGGCCGAGAGTTCAATGCAGCTTCAATTTGACATAATAAAGTTCTGGTTTCATCAAATATTAACAACACTCCCTTTGACACTCGAAGAAGATGCCTTTTAGCTGATTTGACTGCACTCTCCCACAAACCTCCAAAGTGTGGGGAAGCAGGTGGTATGAAGTGCCATGTAATTTCTCGCATAGTAAGAAAATCATGCACTTTATTGCTGTTTACAGCTGCCTTGAAATACGTTTTGAGTGTACGGTCTGCACCTACAAAGTTTGTATTACTGCATTATATTATACTTTCATATTACTTGTATTAAAGTAGTAACTTTTGAGATACTTCACTTTCTTTTTTTTCATAATTGATTTTATTTCTTTTCCAGGTTTGTTCTGATACTATATTACAACTTGATCCTGAATCAATTAAGAATTTAACATCTGTGCCACCAACTTTGCATATTACCAAATTTGTCACCAAATCTTTTTTTTTTGATATTTGGAACACTATAGCTTCATCGTCACTTTTTGCTTCTTCGACTGCACTTATTTTATTACTCCTGGACATTTGCTGTGAATATCTTTTACCTGGCTCTTTTGTATTTGCAGGTAACTTTGTTCTGCAGTACGCTTTACAATGCCCGATTAAACCACAACGCCCACATTTTTTGTCTTTCGCCGGACAACTAGGATCATTTTTTAAGTGATTTTCGTTCCCGCATCTGTAACATGCCTTACTTCTGGTTTTCAACTTTTATATTTTATACTGCTTTTTTTTTTTCATACTTTGTAACTTTATTTACCATTTCTTTTCCGTTTTTTCCCAGTGTATCTGCTTGTTGCACTACTAACTCAAACCGCTTGGCCTCTTCTATGATTTCTGACAAGCTCAAGTTATTTTTCTCGAGTAACTTCCGTCTAAGTTCGTCAGATGTACAATGTTCTATAATTTGATCACACATCTCTGTGTCAGCATCAGCAAAACCACATTTAGCTACTTGTTGTCTTAGCTTTGATATAAACTGTCCGACTGACTCATTAACTTCTTGTCTTATTTTCCTGAAAACATGTCTTTCAAATACTGGATTTACCTTTGGTATAAAGTGCTGATCTAACAAATTTATTGTGTGTTGAAATACCGTTGTTCCATCAGGTGGATTACCATGCTCTGGTATTCCAAAAAAAATATCTTGTAGCTCTTGTCCACCTCTGTGCAGTATGATAGCTTGATTTTGTGTATCCTTAGTTATATTTTGAGACAATATAAATATCATTATAGATCTCTTCCATTTTTCCCAATTGGAAGGTTCAAAAGGTAGTACCTATGTAGTCTTTATTCTGTTCCATCGCGTTTTCCGTTTAACGCAAACACAACTTATCCCGTTGACCGATTTAACACAAATACTCACTAACTCACTTTTGTCTATTTGCTCATGAAACTAGGATACTTTTTTCTACGAATTATACAAATTACAAGTCACATTTTCGTTTTTTTCAACTGCGCCATTGTAACAACACACGTTTCGTTATTAAACTGTCTTTTTATTACATAACATTTTAGGTTATCTATATTATCATTACAAAATGTTATCATATCATTACAGTACATAAATATTAAATTCCAAGATTTTATTTTATAAGTCGTTATTATACTCTTCACGGACTAAAGTATCTTAGTATATGCGTTAGTCCGTAAAATTCGTCACTCGACAATTTGAGATAAGAGTGATAAGATTAGAGTGAATTACACGTCTAAGAATAGATTGAAAACTAGAAATTCCAAATACGGGTCTCGAACGTGCATTTGATAAACACGACCGTCGACCACAGACAACAAGACTACAATAGTTTATATTCCACTATTCCAGTAATTGTGATAGTGATCACCATTTACTACAATAACAAATAAACGTACCTCATAAATAACAATATAATATTATTGTGTATCGATTTGTATTGATTCATTATTCATAATCAGGCAGAGGCCAAGTCACAAGTAGCAATCCTACAATGAAGAGAAGTATAATAAGTTATTTTAATAATCCAAAAAACTTAAAAACTGAGAAAGGTATGTACGATAATATTATACACACTTCAGGTACATTTTATCTACCCAAGTCTTATTTACCTACATTTTATATTTTTATATTTACTAATTATTAGACTGTTTTCTTAAAGCTGTATATTCTATCATTAATAGGTACCTACATATTATTAATCCGTAGTTTTTTAAATTTTTAAGACATTTTATTCTATTATATTGTTGAATTTGTAGTATTTTAATTTTTTAATTATTAAAATGATTATTATTTTATAGTGTTTATGTGCATTATACTCTTTGCACACTCTTATTAATCTCAGCATTTAAACTATTTTTACAAAGTATAATTTAGGTAGGTAGTACTAAATATTTCTGGACTTATGGTATTTACTATTTAGTATTGTACTGTATTGTACCTGTTACCATTCGGTGGATACATTATTTTCATAAATAATTGTTTTTATTTTATTTTATTCATGACATTTTGATTTACTTATTTGTTGATCATAATATAGTTGATAATTAATACTAATTTGTACCTGCCTATTTATTATATTGTTATTATTATTATTATTATATGTAATGTAACCATATAAGACCATATAAGGGGTACAAAAACATAAAGGGGCCAATAAATATTGGCCCCCTCATAGAAAAATTCCTGGCTACGTGCCTGAGGAGGGTGCGCTTATTTATGTGTTGAGGAGCATTCCAGTTTTTCATTGCAAACCGAAAACTATCTATAGTTGATTGCCAAAGAAGTCCCAACGAGCTCAACACCTTAGTTTCAGTAAGATTTATCATAAAGTTTGGATCATTCTGATTATGTGGAAGGCTGTTAAGGCTGAACTTGTTTATGGATATCAAAACATTCTTCATCAGTATCACCCTCCATGTATAAGGTCATCTACGTAGAAATCCTGACATATGATTCTGCCTATGGGTGTGTTTTCAATGACTGCACCAAGCTCATGGAGATAGCTCGTGGCCAGAAAAGAGGCTGATTTTGTGACATATGTGACTGTTTTGAGTTTATAATGCCTTAGTGGCTCTTCAGGCTGCGAACGATATAGAATGCGCTGAAAATCACAGTCTTCTTCGGACACTAGCACCTACCGGTACATCTTTTCCACATCAGCAGTTAGAGCAATGCGATGTAATCGAAAACGCAATAATATGTTAAATATATCTGGTTGCATTATTGGGCCCCTGAGCATAATGTAATTTAGTGACAGTCCTGACTTGGATGTCGCAGAGCCGTCAAATACAACTTGCATCTTTGTAGTGGTGCTATCCGTTTTAAACACTGGATGATGTGGCAGGTTATATGTACGCTTATGAATGGTCGGTGATGCTAATTCCATGTGACCCAAGGAAATATGTTCAGTGATCATTTTATCTTTTTGGAGTCATCTCTATAGATTTAAAAATCTTTTTTGAGCCATGTCTAATTAATTACCAAGCACATTGGGATCTTGTGCCACTATGAATCTCCCACTGCAATGCCGACGAAAAGTTGATTGGAAATGCTCTTCGGATCTGAACTCTTCAAGAATACGTTGATTGGTCTTTGACAAGAAGAACGATAATGCAGATTGATTGTGGATCATGAGGTTTGGTAACGTATAAAAAGTTGACAAAGCTGATATTTTGCCTGTTACTATCCATCCCAACTTGGTAAGATGCAAGCAAGCTAATTTTGATAATGGAAACCTTTCACCATAAAGTACATCAAAGAACCTAATAACACATCTATTGGACCAGGAATATGGAAGTTTGGATCTGCCAACTGGTTGTGTATGTTATGGGGCATGTTCAAGTTGTCCCGAATGAGAATCTGAGAAGGCAAGGCACTGACTATAGTCTGCAGAGAGTAGAACTTGATGTTTGTCTTGAAATCACCAAAACGGGAGCTCATAATCGTATCTTGGAGTTGTATGGCTGTTGATGCCATAGCAGAGACTCCAACAATGTTAAGTGTATGCGAAACAGTAGACAAGTTAAGTCTTTTAGCACAAGAATTTGTAATACAATTTAATTGAGAACCAGAGTCCAGGACAGCTCGGCATGAATGCATGCACCCAAAAGTGTCGCATACATTGACAATGGCAAAGAACATTTCGATTTTCAGCTTCTGGAGCTGACATTTCAGTGTACATGGCTGTTACATGGGGCTCAGATCTATTATCATCATTGGCAATAGAAGCATCTTCATTACTGGTGTTTGCTTGTTCTTCATGAAGCTTTGAATTATGCTTTTCCCCACAACGAGGACATGGAGGAAAGTAACAAGAAGAAACTTGATGGCCAAAGTTAAGACAGTTGAAACAAAGCCTTGATTTCATCACAAAATTCCTTCTAAAATTTGTACTCATGTTGTTGAATTTACTGCAAGCATATAGTTTGTGATGCTCAGTACATAAAGGACATTTGCCAAAACATTTTTCTTTAGATTTTACAAATTTTTTACATTTTTTCATATGTTTTGTTATTTGAATTTTTTGTTGACATTTTTCTTGGTCCATGTGACAGACAATTCATATCCCCTGCCTCATAGGCTGTTATTCTGTTTGCTAGAAATTGTTCTACAGCCACGTAGGAAGGCAGATCTTTACTCTTATACTGTATCCATAAGGTGACCATACGTCCCGTTTTGAACGGGACAGTCCCGTTTTTTGAATCTATGTCCCGTTGTCCCCTGGGAAATTTTCGGGACGCTAAAATGTCCCGTTTTCAAAAAATAGACAAAAAAAAATAATGAAAATAAATGTTCGTTGACGAAATATAGTTTTTATTATATCTTATTTCTTATGTGTGTTAGGTATGTTTTGCTAACAAAAGTGAACTTTAAAATGTCTTGTATAGAATTTTACTCGTTCCTCAAGTCATCGCCAGATTTATAAAAACAAATTTGTTCAAACGAAAAATATACAAGTATTTAACTTTGTAATTATTACACGAAAACATTTTGTTTATAATAAGTTAGGTAGTAAGTGTAATAAGTTAATTTAATTTTTTCGTCCTTTAAAAACATAAGTACCACAGAAATTTGCTAATAATATAATTAAATTAAAAATATTTGTTTGTAACAAATAATTATGATTTTTTTTTTTTTTTTTGTCCCGTTTTGATTAAAAAAATACATGGTCACTTTATGTATCCACCACTCCCCTACTGTAGCACTATCCATTTTACTACATAAGAGAGTGACCAACCATGCATCCCACTGTTTGACTGTTTGCTGCAAAGACTTGAGGGCATTAATGTTAGATGTGACATGATGATGCAGCTTTTGCAGTTCGCTATAAGATGGTGAGACGACCTTGGGTGTCTCGAGTAGTGAACGAATATGTGACTGGATTATAGCACTCTTGTTTTCATACCGATTTACCAACAGATTATAAGCATATTGAAAGTGTTCTCTAGTAGTAGGAATAGATTTAATAACATCAATAACCTGCCCTGCAAGTCATGCCCTTTAGTAATGAAAGCGTTGAACTAGAGGTAATTTTTAATCCTCGTTATGAAACATTGAATTGAATGTATCTATAAAGGATGACCACTAATGCCAATCACCACTGAATGTGGGAAGAGCACATGGTGGATACCTCATAGAGTTGAATGATTTAAATGTTGTTGAGATCTGGCTGAGCTCATTGATGGACTAGATACACTGTCTGCACTATTTTGAGTAACGCAGCCTTTACATCGCACAATCGATTTCGGAATGATCTTCAAACATTGATCCAATCAGGCTTCTATGGTCATTACCTGTTTGTAGGGTTATATTGTGGTGGTAGTAGGGTTTGGAATGGTAAGTTTTTACAGGTGAGTGTTTGTGTTTGGCAGAATTTTTGATTGGGCACCCATAGGTATCTGCCATGCCCGGGTGCGGGATGGTGGCACTTGTTCTCCGGATACCATGACTTGCCCGGAGAAAAATGCCGCATGGTGGTCGAGAATTCATTACATAACTAGTTATTTCTGCCATTAATGTTTGTTATTTAAAACCTACCAGGTTCATTTTGAGGAGAATCGATTTGAAAAAAATAGAAATGATGGCTGGGTTAAATTAAAATGGGACGCCATCCCCACAATTTTTAACGTCCCAAATCCACCAAAAAGGGTGATGACAACTAGAAAATCAAAGTATAAGGTATGCAAAAAATTTAATTATTAAGTTAATTTCCAATAGTTCAGTTAATTAGGTCGTACAACCATTATTTAAATTACATTTACATTTTTTTAATAGAGACCTGTTACTATTGAAGACAATGGTTCCTGCCAGATTGCAGATACTGTTTCTGCCAATGTAGATACTTCAAAAGACATAAACAATTCAAATGTAGAATCTGTAAGTACACTTCTACAGTAAAATTAGCTATTTTTTCAACAATGATTCCTGTAAAAATATGTTATTTACTTTTAATTACAATTTATTAATTGCCATAAGTATGTCAATGAAATTGCTGAACTAAAAAAACAAGTTGAAACATTGAAAAAAGAAACTGCTGAAAAGGAAATTGCTTTGAAGCAATTTTTAACTGAACAGCAAATAAATGTTCTTTCTAACAAAACAAATGTACAGCAATGGGATAATGAAACAATTATGAAATCATTAAAAATTAGTTTTGCTGTTGGTGTTCATGGATTTCAATATTTAAGAGAAATGAACTTTCCATTACCCTGCAATAGCACCATAACTCGTTGACTACATGGTCTTACATTGGATTGTTTGAATCAATGTTAGAACCTTTTTATTGCTTAAAGTTCAACAGTTGGAGAAAGAAGACAGGTTCTGTGTTCTTTCGTTTGATGAAATGGAAATTAGCTGTGAAGAATCATAATATGATAAGAACCGAGGTAAACGTTATGGAAAGATTACTCTTGGTAACACTAATAAACTTGGAAGTAAACTTTTATTAGTGTTGTTACGTAGTGTAAAGAATAATTGGAAACAAGTAACCGGTGCTCATATTATAGATGGGTCCCCTGCACCTGAATTAACCAAGCAGTTTATTTATGATTTCATAGTTTTGTAAAAAAGCTGGTTTGAAAGATGTTTCTCTATCTTCTGATATGGGAAATGAAAACAGATCACTATGGAAAGAGTTAGGTGTAAAAATTCAAAATCTGGTATTCGACAGAATTATTTTACTTATGATGGTAATAATGTGTTTATTATGCCAGATGTATGTAATTTGATTAAAAATTTAAAAAGTACTGCATTAAGGAGCTCAATTAAATTACCTAAAGAATACTGTGAAGCAAAAGGTCTACCTACAGAATATGTGCATTGTAAGTTTGTGGCAGACTTGTGGAATATTGAACAGCGGAAGGATTCAAATAGAGATGAAGAATTTCGCTTACTGCATCATTTAAAAAGAGAAGACATATATCCAAATAATTTTCAAAAAATGAATGTAGGGTCAGCCGTTCGATTTTTCTCTTTGAAAACTGCAGCTGCTGTGGAAACTGCTGTAAACTGTAACTTGTTACCTAAAGATGCACTAACCACTGCTCATTTTATTCGGTTAATCGATGAATGGTTTACGTTAACATCAAGCAAATTACGGGAAACATCAATAACAAAAAGAAACAAGGAAAAAATATGATTTCCTTCAAAAACTTATTGGTTTAGTTGAACAGACTGAGTTTGGATTAAATGGATGGAAACCTCTGAATGTTGGTCTCATCATGTCTTCATTATCCATTATTGAAATAAGCGAGTTATTGTTTTGTAACAGATTTGATTTTATACTGTGCCATCGTTTCACCCAAGATGCAGTCGAAAACCTTTTTTCCCAAATGCGTCGCAAGGCTGGACAAACTCCAAATGCAATTCAATCCCTCAGAGCCCTCAAAATGATACTAATGTCACAGTATATTTCTGATGTAAAACGTTGTAATTACATGAACGACTGCGATACATTTTTATTAAATCATTTTACAAAAGTTCCTGAGAACTTCAATAGTACTTCTTCTGTTAATATACTTCACCCGACTTATAATGTTAAGCCACTAGAATTATTAGATTACGTAGAAAACATTTCAGAGGCATTTAAAATTCTCCCTGAATATGATATGAATATTGTATTTCATTTGGCTGGCAGTGCCACAAATGCAATATTAAAATTAGCATGTAATGATTGTTCTATGTTCATGTGCAACACCAAAGAAACTAAAAACCTTCCAGAGAAATACAAGTTTTACACAAAATCATTGAAAAAAGGAGGATTGAAAGAACAATATATCAATACAGTACTTTTCATATTGAATTGTGAATTAGTGTACAGAAAATATAAAACCCAAATTTACACAACTCAAATTTTAATATCGTAGATGAAATAAGTAATAACATCAAAATTAATTACCCACTCTGTCAAAAATATTGCAATGTCAAACATAAACTTATAAAACATTATTTCACTATTAGGTCTTATGCAACTTGTAATTTATCTGTTTGTTACAAACGAAAAAATATAAATGGAACAGCAACAGAAAAGATGAAAAGAAATTAAATAACAAAGTTAAACCAATTCATTATTTTTATTCTATAGAATATAATATTTGTTTTTTATTTCATACAAAATATTTTCTTTTTAAAAATAAATAAATGGTTACAATTGCATAATTTTAAATATGTAAATAACATTATTAAATAAAAATTATTATTTGAAGAACTTATAACAATTTTAAAATATCAATAGGTTATTTTTTAAATAGAATACAATAATTTGAGTCTGAACAAAAAAATTAATTCAGAGATATACTTTTAAAAAGTAGTTTTGTTACAATTGCTTTAATTTAAATAAATTATAATGAAATTACTACAGAGTTACTGCAAGAGTAATTTAGCTACAGTAATTTGTAATTTGCATAACTTTACTATTAAAAAAAAAAACAGTAATCTATCTTTCGTCACCCAACTTCACATCTTTTGATTATTGAAATAGTTTAGTAAAAGATCCTTATGGTTTTTTCTAAAATTCAGCTTTTCAATTCCTAATTTTAAATTAGCTATTTCTTGATTAGCTTTCTGTTTGATATTATTGCAGTCATGATTGTTTTTCTATAAAAATTAAACAAAAATTATGTAGCATGGAAATCAGATACAAAAGTTATTATTCGTTGAATAGTTAATTTTCAATTGATAAACTAAATTAATGAATTAATAGTCATTAGTCATTACTCAAGAGGATGTCATACCCGAGGGTGTGTTTTCCTAAATGAAAAAATCTGTAATTATCTGTGTTCGTCTCTTATTGGGTTTTTACGATATTTTAATTTTTAAGTGAATTATGTGCATTTTCTAATATTCATATTTTACATACTCATATTCACTTCAAAATTCTAATATCGTAAAAACCCAACGAGAGAACACAGATATTATTCTTACATTTAAAATTGGAATTGCGGGAAGTAAATTTTGATATATCATGCATTGGTAAGACAGAGAAAACACTCGTGGGTATGACGTACTCTTAATACTCATAGTCTACTGCAGCTTGGTAGATGATTTAGTATATTTAGATTTAGTTTATTGATTTTTATTGCATATTTTAAAATAATTTTTGATTATTTACTCTTAAATCATATTTTTAGTAAATTAATCAATTTTATCTACATGATTTTGTAATGATTTAATAATACCGATAAGGCGATAATCAATAGCGTTATGGGGAACCCATTTTATTTATAGCTCTGAAGACAATATTATTTTTATTTAATCTGTCTTTTACATTTACAGTATTATTTTGTTTGCCAGTAGGTACACAGTGATCGACGGACTACGATCGTTATCGTGTCAATACATATATCGTCAATCGTTGTCGTGTTCGTATTTGTATTCGTTATATTGTATTTATTACTGCTCGTATTTGTGTTATAATATGCCAAAAAAAAAAAACACAAGTTAGTCGGTTAAGAAGTTTTATTTTGGAATTTTGGGATAATGTATTTTCCGCAGACGGAAGAGTTTTATTTTGCAAAATATGTGAAATTAAAGTAGAATATGAACGGCGATCTAGTGTAATACAACATATACAAACAGTTAAACATGTGAAAATGATTAAACGGAGGGAAATGTTCAATACAAGAACCCAACAAATGATCACACAAACTAATACAACTAAAAAGTCTACTTTCAATATAGACTTATGTAAAGCATTGCTATCGGCTAACATTCCATTGAATAAATTATTGAACCAAGTATTTCGAAATTCTTTGGAGTCTTACACAGGGAAAGAGATACTATACGAAACAACTTTAAGAAAAGGCTATATTGATGATTGTTTTATTGAAACTATGCAAAAAATAAGAGAATATATTTCTGATCATAAAATTTGGATATCGATCGACGAAACGACCGATGCTGAAGGTCGATTTATCGCAAACGTGACTATCGGTACTTAATTTTTAACTGAAAAATCTGGAAAAATATTTCTTTTGAACACTGAAGAATTGGAAAAAGCTAATTATTCTACAGTTAGTAAGCTATTTGACAAATCTATTTCTATATTATGGCCAGGTGGTATAAAACATGACAATGTTATATTATTTTTGTCGGACGCAGCACCTTACATGGTGAAATGTGGTCAAACGTTAAATGCTTTATATTCCAAAATGATACACGTTACATGCACTGCTCACGGGCTACACAGGGTGGCTGAACAAGTACGAAACCAATATGAATCTATTGATCAGCTGATTTCAAATATCAAAAAAATATTTAGAAAAGCTCCATCTCGCATGCTTCTTTTTAAAACTGAGGCACCGGATTTACCTTTACCTCCAGAGCCAGTAATAACACGATGGGGCACCTGGATAAATGCAGCCATATATTACTGTGAACACTTCGAGATAATTTTTAATATTGTAAATAAATTAGATTCAGAGGATGCTTTGAAAAAAAATGCAAAAAAATACTTGGCAACACCTCACATTAAAAATGATTTAGTCTACATAAAATCAAATTTTAGTTCTCTTACTACATCAATTACAAAATTGCAAACTGAAGGTATTTCTTTAGCTGATTCAATTTAAATTATTGACAATGTAAGTGTTGCAATGAAACGTCTTACTGGGACAACTGGGAAAAATATCTGTACAAAGATGGAAAATGTATTGGAGAAAAATGTTGGTCTTGCTATGCTAAAGAAAATTAAAAACATTCTTAACGGTGAATTAATTGGCATGAAAGACTTACCAGAAGACTTAGATATTAATGATCTGACGTATTTTAAATATGCTCCCATTACATCGGTAAACGTAGAAAGATCATTTTCCGCCTATAAAACTTTACTTACAAATAATAGAAGGTCTTTCAAAGTCGAGAACATAAAAAACATTTGATAATCCAGTGTAAGAGTGTAACGCAAGTAAGTACATCATTAGAATTATAAAATGGTTATTTTTTAATACATAAAAATTATAATTGCTAGGTATAGAAGATGCTGAGTGTTGAAAAATTCAAAGACCTCCCATTCAACAGTTTTTACATTTTTTTTTAGTAATATAGTATGTATAAAATATAAATTTTTAGTAATATGTACAAGATATGTTTTTTTTAAATTAAATATGAATAAGTATGTATTTTTTAATTAAAAATAAATGCATATTAAAGCGCATATTTTGATATTTTTTGGTGCATATGTATGCGCATGTTTTTAAGATTTTAAGCACATAAAGTCCCGAGCCCTGTATTATGACGTTTGTGTATAACTATTAACTATTAACTATTACTCATTATAGTTATGCTAAATATATATTTTAAATGACAAAATGTTTTAGTTTTCTTATCATAAATAAATAACTTAATTATACTATTACTAGTTAGTATATTATTATATACTTAGTTCGGGGGTAAAATTAAATGAACAGAATTTTGAAAATGACATGATTAATTTCAGTTTCTGTCTCGAAACATTATAATGAACGGCTAAGTGAGAAAAGTGACAGAGTTGCAGCTCTCTACTTAATAATTATTTATTTATATCATTGTTTTTTGGACTAAATTAGTAAATTAAACTAAACAACAACAAGGTCGTTGTACTGTAAAGCGAGGTTAGTGCTGCACACAATATTGCACCTTGCATCAGTCACTGTACAGTCACATTGTGCATAATGTATATATTTAAATATTTTACACCCTGTTCGATTTTGAATGTTAGATATCCATGTCTTATATAACATATTAACATATTATATATTTGATTATAAGAATAAAAAAGAAAAAAATGATTTGTCACCAAGATAAATAGAAAAGAAAACTATGTAATAAATAAACCATTAGCCAACCTTTTTAAAAACTGTCATGCTATCATAAAGTTTAAAATCAATAGGTACTTAATAATATTACACGTGTCTTACGTATAGTATAGCCAAATAGATACAATATAACTAATTTATAATTACATAATAACATTTTTGTTTTATTCCAAGCAATATAAAAATGCATTATAAAGAATTTGCACCTATAATTTCCATAATAGATTTATGATTTTGTTCCCGAAGAACCATCATTATGAAATCTTTACCTGAAAAAAAAAGGATTTTAACATATAATTTAGTTTATCTAATCGGTAAGTAATTAATTTTATTTGATTATAGGTATACCTATACTAATTTAAATATTAATTAATTATAAAAATCAAAATTTGTTTTATACCTAATTATTAAAATTATGTTAGTGGTTAGTACTCAATTGATTTTTCAGTTATCTATATAGACTTGTAGAAGATAGTATTGAGTATTGACATATTGTATATATATTATACAATATATAGGTACATTCTACTATTAATTTAATAATAATAACACTAATCTACACACAGTCGATATTAAAATATTAATTCACTTCATCCAGAATAAGTTTTGTAAGCAACTATAAAGCAACAATAAATCAAATAACAAATGTTAAAATATTTTCAAAATGTAAACAATCCTTAAAGATAAAATTATGATTGATGATAATCTAGATTAAACTAAAATAATTGGGTACGGGTACTCATGGACACAACATAATATCTATGCGCCATGCGGGTACCTATTTACAATAATACTTTAATACCAGTAGCATGGGAGAGAAAAATTGGAAAATCCCCCAGCATCTCAAAACTTTTCACTAAGGTAATACAAATCCAATGGGGGATCTGACCCCCCACTCCCCCCTTTCCTTCGTCACTGGATAATACAGTTTGTTAATCTAGGGAGGATTATCTGATAATGCTCTAAAACTACTACTGCTTCGTCAACGTCAGATAGTACATTATGTCTTTAAAATACAGATTATGAAAGATCCACCAGTCATACTTAAGGATGTTCGACATACTACCAGAGAA